CCATTTGTGGGGTTATGAGATATTGGTTGGAGAAAGGAAACTCACAATGTGCTCTCTGTATACATATTGTATTGGATGTACAGAGCAGCTTGGTGCTGGGAAGTGGCAGGTTGGTTACAAGCGTGATGTACAGAGATCTGGTTGGTGAGGGTGCTCAGAGGAGGACCAGCTTGTGGCTCGCCGACGGAAGCGAGGGCCGCCAGGCACGAGATTAGGTCTTATATAGCGGAAGTAGCCCACTACAATACAACAAGACGGCACTCCCTACTCTATCAACAACCGAGCCCTCAGGCGACATGTAGCAGCTTCCATATGTCGCCAGGCACATTATCTAAGCGTGTGGGACATAACAAATGCATTGCCACATGCTGCTGGCTAGGCTAAATAAGTAGTATATATATAAATGGAATACATAATATACATACAACATACACATATAACCCCCCCCCCTCTATACGCTCATAGCAAAGTCTTGAGCGGACCTTTTCTTTTGGATCCGTTCTGAGCGTCGAGGGACTTGATCACTGGGGAGGACACAGGACTCAACACTGGTGACGGGGTCAGCAGAAGGCGTTGTTACGGGGCGGAGAAAACGGCGGTTACCTCCACCACACGCGACCACTGGGTAACAGCACCTGGTAGTCCCGTGATCTACCGAGACCCATGACTACGCCCACTTTGTCCTAACGTAGGGAGATAAGGTCCTGAACACGGACTTGGGTGCCGACACTCAACTTGGGGAGAGAACGGGCGTGGTAGTATTAGCGGGCGACGACGTCACGAACTCGTTCGGCGGCCGCAATCCTCTGTCTTAACCTGCTACTCCTTGGAGAAGGACTGAGCGTGAGCAGGGATACAAGACCTGGGCAGGGGAGCATCCGGTGTAGCTGGGTTGTTGCGGAGTTCGAAGAGACCCCGGTCGAAGGCCTCGCAGTTGAGGATATTCCCAGAAGTGGCCACTTTGAGGATGAGGTGCTTCAGGGATTTGACAACAGCCTCGGCGTGGCCGTTGGACTGCGGGTAATGGGACGGTGACAACACCTGCCGGACTCCCCGTCGCTCGATGAACGCAGCAAAGTCCCGGCTTGTGAACTGCAGCCCTCCGTCGGTGGAGGTGGGGGAGAGGAGGTGGGAGAGTGCAAGTAGGGGAGTGCAGGTGAGGGAGTGGAGGTGGGAGGAGTGCAAGTACGGGAGTGGAGGTGGGGAGAGTGGAGGTGGGGGAGTGGAGGAGGGCGAGTGGAGGTGGGAGGAGTGCAAGTAGGGAAGTGGAGGTGGGGGAGTGGAGGTGGGGTAGTGGAGGTAGGGGAGTGGAGGTGGGGGAGTGGAGGTGGGGTGGGGGAGTGGAGGTGGGGGGGAGTGGAGGTGGGGAAGTACAGGTGGAGGGGAGGGACCAAACGGGGTCACGGTACTTCGGACGGGAAGCACCTAATACTCGAAAAGCGTTACGAGGGACAGACCATCTACGTGTCGCATACACTCCCGGGTCCTTCTCGTACGGTATTTTGGTCTCCGTTAATGACGTTTCTTCGTCCGGTTGGGACACGTGATACGCCTCCTTACTGTTGGTATGACCTAGGTGCATCCTCCTACATTTAGTATTCACTTTTATCTTAAGAGCCATTCTTTTGACCTCTCCTGAACCTGACAGTCTGTTTGAGTCCCAATTTCCCTAAAGAACTTAAGTGTTGTCCCAAAATACTGGTACAGAGAAGTTAATATCGTATTGTCCCGGAGTACGATGATAACCACATAGTCATGATGAAGGTTGTACGACATGGTTGAGAAAATATCACTTATTAAATCAGAAAATATTTGACATCTTCAGGGTTGATTTCATACTGAAGGAATAAAGATGCTTTCATTATAGTACAGTAAACTCCCTCTAGCCCGGACTCGCTTAATCTAGATCCTCTTGAAAACCGGCCTGGGGTCCAGCACCGGACACAAGTATCCCCGACCAAAATCCAGATAGCACGGGGGAAAGTTGATGTAATCGGGGGTTCCAACTGTGGTGGCACAGAAGGGTAACCATGTCATTAGCAGTGACAACTGAAAAATCACACTTCTCATCCACTTAAATAACAAACAACAATTCATCTATGACAATACTCATTGCAGAATCAGTAGCTGTGACGTGTAATATTTTGTTATTTGATCACTAACATAAAATATGATACTATAGGTATACAAACAATTCACTTACTGGAGTTGTCTATTTACTGGAATTTGCATCTAAAAATTAAATTATTTACCTATTATACAGTACAGTACAGCATTGATTACTGTCAAAATAACAATATTTTGAAGTTGCACTGAATTCACATAAAATTTCCGACTTTTTCCAGCCTCCGTTAAAATTGTTTGCCATTTCCAGACCAGTAGACACCCTCATCATCCAACTGAGTACAATTTAATCAATGCATCACAACATGATTTCATGGATAGAATATTCTGCTGACAAACTTAAGTCATTTTCATTGAATTTTTAACAGACCACATGGACCAAGGTCTACCAGTGGATGTGTTGTACGGTCAGTCAAAAGGAACGAGTTTCTGACTCGACTGTCTCTCGTTTGATGCGGGTGTGCGGTTTCATTTTATTTGGGGTTCAACAAACTTTTTGACCATGGATGTATGTGCATTTCTCTAGGGCACTTGATAAAGTCTCACATCCACTACAAGCTGGCCAAGTTCTCATGTTGAACAAATATAAGGAAATACTACTTTACACAGACTGGTAGACCTATGGAACAGTCTGCCAGCACAAGCTGTGGAATCAAGAACAGTACTGGACTACAAAAGAAACCTTGACAAAATTATCAAGAACAATGCAGGGATCTTACATAACCCACTGGTCTCCATCCCTTGGCATAGCCACCTCTATTGGGTGGCCATTAGATAAAAACAGTCTCAAAGGAATACACGTGTAAAAAAACACAAGTGTTACCGCCACAGTAAGATAAACTAGAAGAGACAGAAAGAGGGATGATAAACTAGGCGGGAGAGAACGGATATAGTGTTGACGACGAATTAGCCGAGGTGCTTCAATACGAAACGGATGGCCCTCGAGGGTAGTCCACCGATTTCTACGGGACAGACGACACGTCGGTTCGGACCACTAGACCCTAAGACGTGAGCGATCGTGAAGTATTAGAATCTGCCAAGAAACTCTAAATAACTTTAATAAGTATATTTATGTACTGTAATTTGATCTGATGTATCAACAGTTATAAAACGCGAGTTATATTTAAGATGTTAACAGGCTATGTACTGTACATAGGTTGTATTATTCATACTATGTATCCCGAGATAACAGCATTTGTTATATGAGAATTGTTCTTTGACCGATTAAGTGGTCTCCCAAATACAGGAACTACAGGAAAGTCTGGATAAGGTTCCAAGATCATTGGTCTCCCAAGAAGATAAATAACTGGATGACATGACAACCCAGCAGCCACACGTAGCGTCAACAAGCAGTAGTGATGATAAGCCTGAAGAGCCAAGTGAAAAGATACTGTGGTTAAAGTGTTTTTTATTTATTTGTGGTGTGGTAGTAACGGGTTGTGTTATATACTAATTGTGGGATAAGATCTGATGATCGATTGCGATAATTACACCCCTGGGGAAGCAACAATTAAGTCTGGGATTAGCACAAGTAAAGAAATAAGCCCTGGCTTCTCTTGCCTTACACATCCAAAGTGCATTTCTACACCCAAGTCTAAACAATAATGTGTACTGAACAACTTCCCTTGTTCATGCTCATCTTTCCCTCTTCTGTTGTTCTGTCAGTGAATATATTACTTTCATTGATCTCTCACTTAAAATATTATTCCCTCACCTGACACAACCTCTCCCGGATATCTGAAGAAAAAAATATCTCTGCCTTTCGGTAGTGTGCATACAAGACCGATGCATATAATTCACAATTCAACACACATACAGATTGATATTCTGAATTATGTGACACAATCGTCTTCAACAGCATGGAAATCCTTCATGAGTCAAGCGTGTACAAGGATTCCAGGCAGCCTACAAGACCTAAAGACTCTGGTTGTGAGGCATCCTCTTGGTCGTCTGGTTTCAGCTTACAAGTAAGTTGGTGAAACCTTGGTAATAAGAGTTAGCTTGTCTGTACAGCCTAAGAATAAGTTTCATCCAATCAGAGTGTTGTTTACTTGTACGCTTCACCATTGTCTACTCATGACTCACGAAAATATTTTGAGTTCATACTTATAGTTTTCTCAGTTGATATGGTATAAAAGTTTCATTATCGGTAACTATCATCATTAAGATTCAAATGTGATGGCTCTCTTGATTTTTAATTGTTGATGACTTAGTGTATTTACTAACCTAGAATACGCTCTTCATAAATATATAATAACTTCAACAACATTGTTCTTTCATTATAGAGACAAGTACCTAAATGGGTCTCCACTTAATACCTACGACAAGGACTACAGGAAAGTAACGGCAAGTCATCAGACGTGGAATGATAGATGGCAGGAATACTGGCTTCCAGCTCTCATACACAAAGGATCCGTCGCACCTTCCCCTCAGTACCTCACAACACTAAAAAAGGTTTCGCAGGCATATGGCTTTCTGACAGGGAAGCGTTTTGGGACGTTTAGCCGCCATCGTCTTAATGAAACCAAGAAAGCATCGTCTAACCCCGAGAGAAAGTTTATAACGTTAGCCAAGAAGATGCTGACAGTAGGCAAACACGTTGGTGTCGTTGCTGCTGTCAACATTGGGTACTCCTTCACTATGGCAGAGTTCCTTGAGCACGTATTATGGACCAGGGACGTGGACCTGTTGGACCATCACTGGACCCCCATTAGCCAACTGTGTGGTCCATGTACAGCTGACTACAAGTACATCGTGCGGCATGAGAACCCCAAGGAAGCGGAGTACCTTCTGGGCCTCCTGCACCTTCAGGAAAACACCATTCCGAGGAAACACAAATCCATCGGAGCATTACATGACCTTCAGTACTTTGAAGACGTCCCCAAAGACTTAATGGCCATAATTATTGATATGTATAAACAAGACTTTGATTTGTTCAGTTATGATAAGGTGAAAAAAAGAACAATTTTAACATCTGTATTGTTAACTTCTCTGACCCACTCACTGCAGTACACAGATAAAAACAACAGGTTAATAAGATGAGAATTAAAACGCCATCTACATACAGTACATAGCGCCGGCACAGTGGTCACCAACCCTCCACAGTTCCTTTTACTTTTTTTTTTTTTTTTACTTTTATCCTCTTCGCCACTGATCGGCTTGTTAGCCGCTTGGGCGATCGGTCACGTCTCTTTTCCTTTATATTCTTCACCAAAAGGTCGGCTCGCTAGCCGCCCGGGCGATCGGTCACGTCTCTGTCACGCACTGTTGGCAAATACTTGGATCACGCGCACCTAACGTGCGGGCGGGTCGTGTTGCGTCTCTGTAACAAAGCGTGTTCGGCATCCGGGCCTTCGATGTAGAGCGGCAGAAATTGGACAGTGATTACATAAGTTCGTCAAGATCGTCTTAGTGAGGTGAAAGTGTAAATCGATGTCGGACTTTTCATGCTAGACACGATTGTATTTTTGAAAACTCAATTTCCACCGAGTTGGAGGTACAGCCAGGGTCACAGGCCTATAACCACACAATCACTGCCACATGACAAAGCTTTTATTTTATTTTATTTTTTAGGGTGTTGTGGTCACGGCTGTGATAAAGGCCAACCAGGGAGTGTAGTACTGTGCCTTCAGTTAAATCAGTTCATAGTTGTCATCAGTGAATGCAGAAGAGACTATAATAACTTAAAGTGAATACATATTGGCAATCGAGCTGGTAAGGACAACTGCCAGCCTATTCGTGTCATAGGTGCCACAGAGACTTTAAATTTTATTTTGTTTGTGTGCTTGCTCAAGGACTGAATCTGTGTTTATAATACACCACTCACAGGGAGATACAGTGTACACAGTGATAGTTCATAGTGTCATCAGTGACCGCTGAAGTTGTAAATAACTTAAAGTGAGCGCTCACTAGCAAGCAAGCTGGAAAGGCACCGTGCCAGCTGAAACCAAGTCGTGTCATAGGTGCCACAGAGACTTTAAATTTTATTTTATGTTGATTGTGTGCTTGCTCAAGGACTGAAACTGTGCCTACAATACACCATTCACAGGGAGATACAGGGTACGCAGTCGCAGACGACAACTCCATAGGCAACAGAGAGTAGCTAAGTACTTTTTTCTCTCTTTATTTTCTTTGAAATAGGTGTAGATCTATACACAGTCTACACCCCCCCCACAACAACAACAACCATGAGTTTGGTATGTGATTACTGCAGGGAGACGTCGGATATGGAGGATGCAGGCCTAACTAATGCAACGTCTAGGAAGTTACTAACTGCCGTAAAGCTTGATGGCTGTTGCTGGTATTGCCCTGGCTGCATAGTCAAGGTGAATGAAGCGATTGCAATCCATAAGGGAACGAGTTCTCTAGGGACGAAAATAGATGAAGCAGGAGCCCTGCTGGTTGACAAACTGGAGCAAGTTGAGAAAGAGATCCTTGCTAAGACTGAGGAAGTAGCTAATAGAATGGAGGTGGTTGCTAAGAGGAGCTATGCGGACGTATTAGGAGGGCCACGGGTGGGGGGGGCGGAGAGTAATGCAGAATCAGTACAGGTTCTACAGCAGATTGGGACTCTGAAAAAGTGTGTCGAAGAAATGAAAATTAACGGACCTACTGTTAGGGGAGAGGAGGAACACCAGGAACGGCTCCAGCGCAGGAACAATGTAATAGTTTTTGGAGTCCCAGAGAGCCAGGCAGAGGGAACTGTGAGTAAGGAAACACACGACAAGGTGCTGTTTCAAAATATTTGCACAGAGGTTCTGAAGATTCCAGCAACCCCTCAGGATGTGAGGAGACTGGGACAAAAGCAGGGGGCTAAGCCTCGCCCCCTCAGGATCACATTAGGGAGTGAGGAGGAAAAATGGCAAGTTATCCGGCAGGCAAAAAACTTAGCAAGGAGCGAGGCATTTCGAGATGTATTTATTCACCCAGACCGCACGGTAATGCAGAGGGAACAGCACAAGAAGCTCCTGCTGGACTTGAAGCAGAGGAGGGAGGAGTCGAGAAGGAACGGGGACAGGTGCACATGGGTTATACTCAGGGGGAGGGTAGTGGAAACAAGTGTGCCGACACAGGGCCAGGGGGCAGCAGTGCACCCTCCACCCACTCAACCCCCCACCCGGGAGGCGGCACCAGCTCAGCCTACCGGACAGGAGGGAACGAGCGCCGTGTAAACAATGAAATTTTTAACCACACCCTGCAAAATACAGTGTACTTAGCAAATGCTGCAGCTTCTGAGAATGTGGGTGGAGCGGGTTTATTACTAAGAGCAGAGACGTTACCGAGAACAAATTCTGGCTTGAATGTCATGTACACTAATACCGACACGTTCCTGGATAAGAGGGAGGAGTTTGAAACACTACTAAGAGTACACCAACCAGATATTGTAGGAGTTGTAGAACTGTTGTACAAGAACAGGAGAATCGACCCAGAGGAATGTGAGTTCAGTATTGCTGGATATGACTCATTTACGAACCTAACTCAAGAATCCTGCAGGAGGGGTGTGGTTATCTACGCTAGGCAAGACCTTAGAGCCAGCCAGGCGAGGGTACAGGGAGAGGATGTCTTTGAAGAGTCCAAGTGGTGTAAAATTAAATTAAAGGGAGGGGACTTACTTATCGTCGGGTGTATCTACAGATCCCCGAACTGTGGCCCACTAAATCAAAGGAACTTAAGAACCTTAATAAACAATGCGGCGATGCTCAACCCCAGCCACCTCCTTATCATGGGGGACTTTAACTATGGCGACATCGACTGGAGAAACGAGTCAACCCCGAATGACTTGAATAATCCTGCTACTCTTTTTGTAGAAACTCTGAGAGATAATTTTCTGTTCCAACATGTGAGAGACCCGACACATTACAGAGGGGAGCAAACACCCAAGCCACTTGACCTCATCATAACAAACGAGGAGGGTATGGTGGCCAAACTGGAACACCTTGCCCCAGTTGGCACCAGTCACCATACAGTGTTGTCATTCAGATTTAACTGTTACCTAGTTCAAGATAAGGCCAGGCCAAGGTGCAAATATTACAAGGGAAATTACAATGGGATGAGGGAAGAGATGAGGGGTATCAACTGGCCTGACTTATTAAGGTACAAGAACGCAGACACTACGCTGAATATCATAACTAGTAAAATGACCCATTTGATCGATAAATATATACCCAAGACCAAACCCAGTGCTTCTAGGAATACGAGGGGATCCCTACACATGAACCATGCGGCGGTCGACAAAATTAAGAAGAAAACCCAGAAATTCAAGACGTGGGTTGGGTCAAACGATGAGCAAGACAGGAGGATGTATGCAAGAGCCAGAAACCAAGCAAAGATAGAGTGTAGGAGGGCTGAAAAGGAGTTCCAAAGGCTGGTTGCACGCGAGGTCAAGTCAAACCCAAAGGCGTTTTACCGCTATGCAAAGTCGAAATTGAAAACGCGAGTAGGAGTATCAGACCTGAGGCTTGAAGATGGTAGTTACGCAGATTCTGACCAGGATAAAGCTGAGGCATTGAACAGCTTCTTTTCCTCAGTGTTCACAAGAGAGGATGCAACTAACCTTCCTGCGTTTGAGGACAGACGGTTCGACACAGCACTGACCCACATTGTGTTCACAGAAGAGGGTATTAGAAATAAACTGTCCAGGCTAAAGGTCCATAAGAGTCCTGGACCTGACATGGTGCATCCTAGAGTGCTAAGGGAGCTGTGCAACGAGCTTGCAGAGCCCCTGAAGATTCTGTTTTGTAAATGCCTGGATGAACAAATGGTCCCCAGTGAATGGAAAGTGGCTTATGTGAGTCCTATCTTCAAGAAGGGCGATAGGCACTCCACGAACAACTATAGACCGGTGAGCCTGACCAGCATAATATGTAAAGTACTTGAGAGTATTATCAGAGATGCAGCGATGGAACATCTACTACGAAACAACCTTGTAAAAGATTGCCAACACGGTTTTATGCCGGGGCGCTCTTGCTTGACACAATTGCTCAAGGTATTGGATATTTGGACCCATATTCTAGAACGGGGTGGTAATATCGACAATATTTACCTAGATTTTGCCAAGGCTTTCGACAGTGTACCCCACGAAAGGCTGAAAATCAAACTGGAAGGGTACGGAATTCGGGGAAATGTCCTAGCGTGGATAGAAGACTTTCTACATGACCGCAAGCAATGTGTGGTGATTAATGGCACGAAATCGTCATCTGTACCTGTAACAAGTGGGGTACCGCAGGGTAGTGTATTGGGCCCGCTGTTGTTTGTTTGTTTCATAAATGATATGCCTGACGTTGTACACTCCTCCATACAAATGTTTGCCGATGACGCCAAGTTATTTCGGGAAATTAAGAACCAAGCGGACTGTGAAGAGCTGCAGAAGGACCTCTGTGGGCTCCAGGAATGGTCGAAGGAATGGCTGCTGAGATTCAATGTCACGAAGTGTAAGAGGATGCACCTGGGGCGTACCAACGGTAAGGAGGCGTACCATATGTCCCAACGGGATGAAGAAAATGTACTAGTTGAGACTGTGTGTGAGAAGGACCTAGGTGTGTATGTTGACAATGAGCTGAAGTTCTCGGGCCATTGTGAGAAGAAGGTAAATCAGGCAAATAAATTATTGGGTCTTATAAGAAGGTCGTTCAGATATCTAGACGGTCCGTCCCTCGTGACGATCTTCAGGAGTGAAGTGCTTCCCCATCTGGAGTACTGTCACCCCATCTGGTCCCCGAGATATGCTAGGGACTGTCAGTTGGTTGAAAATGTTCAAAGGAGGGCCACCAAGCTGGTGCCTGCACTTCGGCATCTCAGCTACCCTGCGAGATTGGAGCGCCTGAACTTGCCTAGCTTATACTACAGACGGGCAAGGGGGGACCTAGTTGAGGTTTATAAGCATCTCAGGGGGCACTACTCAGTTGAGTGTCCTTACTTGGAGCTGGCGGACGCTCGCCCCACAAGGGGTCACAGCTCAAGATTGAAGAAGCCGCAAGTCCGGAAAACCGTGAGGGCAAACTTTTTCGGAGTGAGGGTTGTAAACTCTTGGAACAATCTACCAGAAAGGGTTGTGACGGCACCGAGTGTGAGCTCTTTCAAGAGAAGACTTGACCAACACTGGAGCGG